GGCCCTTTTGGTTTTCTGATTTCAGCTCCTTGCACATTTCATTTTACTTTGTCATGCTGCGCTGCCTTTTAAAATCTTCTGTTCAGCTCTTTAGAATCTTGAATTCGTCCTTGTGCATTGGCTTCTCTGCGCTCTAGTGCAATATTCAGAGTTTCTTCTGACATCCATCCATTTTGGTCTTTTCTTCCTCCTCTGTCTTTGTAATGAACATCTGCACTCTTCTTGGATGATACCCTTGATATCCTCTCACAATTAATCTGGTCTTCGCTCATTAGTGTTCAAGGTCCCAAACCTGTTCCTGAGATGGTTCTGAAATTCAGGTGGGATGGTCTCAAAGTCGTATTTTGTTTCCCATGGATTTGGTTTAATTTTCCTATTATCAGTTAATCAAAATCAGATAAATATAAGGTTTGAGAAGTCTTTTTTTACTTTCTCCTCTTTTTTAATTTTAAATTGATTTTAATGAAAGTTTACAGAGACTGGATTTCCATTCATTCATTGTTGGAGAATTATTCTTAACTTCTTTCTTTGCTCAATAATTACTCAATCTTCTTTGCTACGTGATGATTTTTAAATGTTTATATTAGGTGCCACTGAGTCTACTACGACTCATAATCACTCAATGAACAGTAGTAGATCAAAACCTTTTCCTTTCCTTGGTCATTTCCAACATCTCTGCCACGGCCAAGCTCATTGCTCGGGTCTTGTGTTAAGTAAGCATCTCACTGAGAATCTTCCTCTTTCACTGACATTCTAGCTTTCTCAGCAGAGTGTCTCTTTTTAGGACTGGCCTTTCCTGACACCATGACCAAAACATGTGAGACCAACTTCTACCTTCCTTGCCTCTAAGGAGCACAACGGCACTTCCTCCGAGAGAGACTGGTTTGTTCTTTTGGCAGTCCATTCAATGCTCTTCGCCAACATCGCAATTCAAAAGAGTATCAACCATACTGTCACAGACAAGAGAACAAACAGGTCTGTCCTGAAGAGGGTGAAACCAGGCTGCTCCTTTGAGGCAAGAACTTTGAAGCTCTGTCTCACATACTTTGGACATGTTGCCAGGAGGGGCTAGTACCTGAAGAGGGGCATCATGCTTGCAAGGGTAGAGGGTCAGTACAGGAGAGGAAGACCCTGGATGAGATGGATGGACACAGTGACTGTGCAATGGGGTGAGGTGTGTCAGAGATGGTGAGGTTGGCTCAGGAGAGTGCAAGGCTCAGATCCAGTGTTCACAGGGCCACTATGCGATGCAGTCAACTCGATGGCACATAACAACAACAACAACAACAACATACAGATTATGTGCTTCCTGAATCAGTTTCAATGTCATGTATTTTTTAAAGCATTCAGATGTACAAATAAACAAAGGAACGGAGTTATTTACAGATTGAATTGTGTTCCTCATAAACCGTCCTTTAAGTCCTCACTTCTAAACCCAACATATGAATTTCTTTGAAAAAATCAATCATTTGGGGTGAGGATATCATCAGTGAGGCCATAGGGAAATAATGTGGGTCCACTTCCTAGTCTTTCTGAGTGGTAGTGTATAAAAGGAAGCAGAAATAGGGCCACACACCTGGGAGACAGCATATAAAGATTCCTCTACAAGCAAGCCAAGGACACTAGAAAGGTCCAGGGCTACCAGAAGCTAACAAAAAGATTTGGCAGTATCCTCCCCTAGAATGGACAGAGCAAGAGCTTAGTCCTGCTGACATTCTGACTTCTGGTCTCCACCACCCACCCATGACATCACCCCAAAACTGCTCAGTTGTCTGGTGACTAAAGGTACCAGCTTTGGAGCCAGACTGTCTGTGTTCAACCTTCCACTACCAAGCAGATGACCTTTGGGGAGTTATTTAACTGCTCTGTGCCCCAGTTTTCTCATCTGTAGATAATAATAGAACACATCAGTACTTCTGTAAAGATTCAATGAATTAACTATGCAAGATCCTTGGACTAAGTCCGTGTACATACAGGATGTACTTAATATAAGTGACAGCTCTGCCAAGGTTACTCTGAAGATCTGCTTGTAACGTTGCTAAAACGTCGGTCTTGCTGCAGTAGGAGCAGACCACAGAGGCCACGGCTTCCTATTGGCGTCATCAAGCTGCGAGTTCTCCTCACCTCTTGCATGGTGGGTAATGTTTCTGTATCCACTGCTGAGAATCCTCTTATCTCAGGGATTTACATAAAGGCTTCTTGTTGTTGTTGTTGTTGTTAAGTCGAGTCATAGATGACTCATAGCGACCCTATGAATGAAAGACCTAAACACTTGTATAACTTCAATTGTTTCTCCAAGTTCATAGAGTTTCCAGAGGCAAGCTATTTTGGATGTGAATGCGACTCCTGCTTCCAAGCTTGTTTTAATCAGGGAGCTCCACCAAACACTGTCCACCATGAATAACCATTATCACATTTGACATGTGAGTGTCACAGTGTTTAGCATCACAGCAACCATGAGTTACCCCTGTACAGCAAATGGACAAACCAGTGCTATACCACTTAGAAGAATGTTTGACCAAAAACAATTAAAACTAGGCCTGAGGGCCACAAATTAAAATCACCCACCTTTGACTTTGTAGCATAACTTTCTATACACTAGGCCGACAGAGCTCTCTCTATGTTATTGTTGTCTCTATGTTGCTGTTGAGTCGTAGAGGACTCATAGCACAAAGGCTTACTCAGCAAAAAAAAAGATGAGTGGTGTGGCTGTGTATTTATTAATTTTCTACGAGTTTATTTACAAAATTTGAATACAATTTCAAACAAATTCTTTCCATTTCACTCACCTCCCCATTAAATTGTACAACCCATGATGAATCTCCCCCTCTCCCTACACATCCACATCTTTCAGGTTCCAGCCTCTCCCACCCCTCTTGGATCCTTATACTCATTCTACAATAATAGTTTTATACAATATTTATCCTGTGGGACTGAGTTAGTTCACTCAGCATAATGCTCTCCAGTCCCTCCCAAGTTAGGTTATAATTTACAAAATCATTGCTCCTACTGCTGCATAGTATTGCATTGTGTGAATGTATCATAAT